GCTTATTTCAGATATGGGGATTTTTCACTTTTCCATTTTCTTCCGTTCAGTTTCCTTTGTGGCCTTTGACCCCCCCCCCCCCCACTTGGGGAAAACAAGCTGTCTGCACTGCCCCATGGCTCCTGGGCCAATGAAAAGTTGTGGGGGTCCCTCCACTTCTACTAGGCGTAGTTCTCGGAACTCTTCCACTGCGCGTGTTAAGAGAAAACTTGAGAGGCGATTCGGGACTCGAGTGCACCAAGGCCTGAAGACCTAAAAAATGTGCAGCTATGACACCTTCAACAGTGTTTCAAAATAAATTGTTGTGGTTGCAAGCAGACGCATGAAAAAAAATGTCCACTGTCGTCTGTCACATAGTATCCTTTCCATAAACAGTTCGTCATTTAGCATGTGAAACAGTTAAGGAGCATTCACATCATAGTTTACTTATCGTGCTGATAAGTTTAGTCCGCATAGTCATGACAAGGAGTCACCTTCAGTAAGCCCGTCCTTAATATCAGTACAAATAACTTGACAGCGTTCCAAAGATGAGCTGTCGAAATCCTAGGGTACATAGTACAACAGCGGAAAAGCGACTGCAGTCGTGGAGCCTAAGCCTGGCTCGTATTTTTTCATCCTTTGGCAGATTGGCATGCCGTCAATAACAAAACCGGGCCGAGTAAAGAGCCCTGCACCACCCGGTGACTCACCGGCAGTTCAGCACCGGTCTCGCCAGTAACGAACTGGGTATATAGTCGGGTACCCACTCTCGATGATATCTTCTCTTGTAATACGTTTTATGATCAGTTGCAGTTCCCGACAGTAACAAACTAAAATCTCACTATTCGCTAGGGCTCAGAACCTCAGGTACAGTCCTGAAAACCATGTACTGTGATCACGCAGTGAAATTCATGAGTGAATTTGTGCCAAATGAAAATAGTTGACTGTATTCGCGTCAAAATTGAAATTTAAATACACAACAACCAACACCAAAGGCACAAAAAACATATATATTATGGGCAAAAAGACACCAGGGAATAGTCACAAGGCGATGGTAAGAATACGTAGTCCCCTAACATTCTTCGGCGGCATTGGCCATTGGCATTGGCAACTATAAAGCGTACAAAAGTACCTAAAGCACATAAAAACTATTGTGCAATAAGTATCCTTTTTTACCAAGTGCTACCAGTTTAAAATAAAGATAAATGCAGAGATTAAAACTCCCGTTAAAAAACTCAGCATCATAGGAGTAACGATATAAATCTAACGCGCATCATAGGACAATGATACTTCTTCTTGGCATGTATCAATCACCACTTCACATCGCATATCAGATCCTCAACACTATTAGCTAAGTAATCTTGCCGTAACACCACATCCTTCAGACCGGGTGGGCTCGCAAGTGTCTTATTGTATCCCCTTGCATTGAAGACCGATCATGTCTTATGAGAGGCGAACGCGCATTATCATTGCTCGAGCACCCATGATACTCGTAGGTCTTTCATGGTAATTAATGTAATCTTTGTAAACAGTTCAGCTCACACCATGTCCAACGCCGGGGTGAATAAAATTGTGTTTCGCCAAAGAAGCAGACTATGTAGTTGAGCATTCACTGTCCACGGCACACTTTTCATGTTTCAAGCGGGTGCGAGCATGACGGACGACGGTGGCTTTTCAGATGACGTGAGATGAGTACAAGACTACAAGTCTTACAGTGCATAGGTCAAAACAACAAGGCTGATTTAACATACGTATACGTAATACGGGGACGTGTCAGAATACCAAGAAGATAAAACCCCTCCAAGCAAACGTCACAGCAGATCAGGGCCGCTCTAACATATGCGTACGGCAATGGTTGGTGATAGCGGTGATAGTACCTCGCTCAGCAAATGACTTGTTGTATACATCATAGCGGTATGGCCGCTCTCGGCGATGTATGTGCACGGCGATGGCTGGCCAGAGTACCTAGCTGAGAAAAAGCCTTGTCACATAGATCACAGCGGTACGGCCGCTCTCCCGTGTGTGTACGGAGGTGGGTGATTAGACCACATTTTACAGCAAATGCTTTGTCACATTTATCACAGCGGTACGGCCGTTCTCCCGTGTGTGTACGGAGGTGAATGGTTAGCTTACTACGCTGAAGAAAGGACTTATTACATATATCACAGTGGTACGGCCGCTCTCCCGTGTGTAAACGGTGGTGGCGGGTAAGACAACCTGACTGAGAAAACGACTTCCCACAAATATCACAGCGGTACGGCCGCTCTCCCGTGTGTGTACGGCGGTGTTTGGTCAGACTGTCTTGTACCGGAAACGTTTTGTCACATATATCACAGCGGTACGGCCGCTCTCCAGTGTGTGTACGGCGGTGGCGGGTCAGACCACATGGATCAGAATACGACTGACCACACACATCACAACAGAATGGCCGGCCTCCCGTGTGGATCCTTTGATGGTTTGTCATATGGTCGGAACGATCCGTAGAGTACTGACACAACTTGCACTTGAATCTGCCGTTCCTGCCGATGTTGCTGTGATACTTCTTCACGTGTTTGTCGAGATGATCTTGTCCCAAACAGTTGAAGTGGCAATGAGGACATCGCAACGAGCCGCCGATACCTAGAGAGTGCATCGGTCGTGTAAGCGAGATTGAACAGAAGCTCCGACAGGAAAAAGGTACACTACTTCCTTACGTCGGCATATGACCATGACAATATGACATTTTAACCATCACCCACACTCAGACACTGGTATGCACATTCCTATTCTTCACCCATGTGAGCGCACCCAAAATTACTCATTCTGAGTGAAAATAGGTTCCTTGTCTCCTTCAAAACGCCCGCGCCGTGCCAATGGTCAGGATTTTCCACTGAGTGCTGGGTGGGGGTGGAAGAGGGGAGAGGGGAGCATTTTGAGCCTCCCCCGTCCAACCCGGCTCCTGGGCCATGGAGCGACAAGCAGTAAGCAGCATTGAAGAGAGCGTAAACAAATGATAATAAAGAAAGTACTTCGGTCATTTTTTAGGTGAGGTCAAACGTCCGGTCACCAGAGGTTGTTTAATGTCAAATTTTACCCATTTCGATATTCTGGCCGAACTGGCGCATAACTCGGGATTAACTAGAGCTACAGCAGCACTGCGAGAAACCGTATTTGATGGGTCTATTAACGATCTCTGTGGACCATGTCAAAGACCTAGGATTAATAGTTTAGCCTTGAGGAGAAGAGAGTAAAAAATCTGAAACTACATTTCTTCTGCAAAAAACTTTTGATTCATAACTGGCACGACATTTGATTGTGCCGGAATCGACTTAGCCTCGTCGAGACACGTTGAATAAACTTTAACTTGACCCAGAAATGTATAAAACGTATTTTTTACACCAGCTTTATTATTTCAATGAAAGCTTTCAAGAGCACTTCGGCTCCCTTCTTCAGCTATCTGTCACACACCAAAAAAAAAAAAAAAAACACGTATAAGTCAAAATCGTCATTGCGCCATATTTAAAGCACAATTGTCACACAATTTTATGATTTAAAAAATATACACGTCTAGATGATCGACCAGTAACTTCTATAAAAAGAAACGCCTAAAACACATTCACACACCGCTAACATTTAAATCACACGATATACACCATTCATTGGCACCCCTGGTCTCGTGTTCAAAAGGGTCGATTCTTTCGTCATCCGTTGAGATTGGTAAAACCGCACATTACTTTAGCGGTGGGCTGTTCTAGGAAACTGTCGCCCTATCGCTGATTTTAGACTAAATGCGTTTGGTCGATGGTATAGCGCATTCCCTAGAAGACCCGTGAACGGTTAAACATTTTATCTTTGAACTGACCTGTGACGTCATCGGTGACCCCGAGGTCAATAGAATTCGGTTTCATTCGACAAATTTTACAGGGCTATCAAGCGCCGTTCGAATTTACGGATCCGTCCAGTAGTTTCGGAGATACGGGGGGGGGGGGGGCAAAAATGCCTCCCGCACCGCGCGGAAGGTGGCCGGGAGGCCCACCGCCTGCCGGGTTAATGTTTCTTTGTAGATGGTGTGAAGACGACACGGTGGCTTTTCATATCTCTGAGAGAACTAAACGTCTTCCTTCACACGTCACATCAGTAGAGACTAGAGACGCTCTACTGTACGTGTACGGCGATGAATGGTCACATGACCCAGCTAAGAAAACGACTTCCCATAGGGGAAGTCCATTAAATCCATTTCCCCTATGGGAAAAATGGATTTATCCATTTTTTTTAATAAATCCATATATCTGCTCTTTGTTTGGTGCAATGGCAAAATTGTTGATTGTAGTATGGAAAGGAACTATTGCAGATATTTTTCTTCTTTAAAAGCTATCCTCTAAAATTATCGCTTCAATTAGAAAAAAATGGCTCTTAATAACTCTGAGCGTTTGCACGAACCTGCCCCAGGTTGAGGTATGGGGCACATTCGTGCAAAGGGTGGGGCACTTTCGTGCACCCTGCAAAATTCGAGGAATTACCGGGCATTACCAGAAATTCACCGAAAGAAATTGGCAGGGGGTCATTTCATTTGATTCCTTTCGACAAGAATGCATTGCACGGTGCACCACAAATGTAGAAATACCTAATGGGCTGGCCAATAAGAATGTACCAACTGCCGACCATCGTGACCTCGACCATCGTGCCTACGTGACCTTGCCAAGGTCATGTAAATTACTTGTCACGACGTCGCAAGCAGCCGAGACTGACCCCACGTTCGATGTCTTTCGGACGACGAAGATTCTACGCCGTCCGGCCAATCACGTTCCATAACCGCAGCCGAGCCCCCGCTGACCTCTAGCGGGATTGGCCGGACGACGTAGAATCTTCGCCGTCCGAGAGACATCGAACGCGGGGTGAGTCAGGCGAGCGTCATAAGTGCGAGCGTCATAAGTGAAACCTACTACAGATAACGTCATAAATCGCAAAAACGAAAAAATATGCACGAATGTGCCACTAGTCAGTGCGTGCACAGACCTGTCCCACCACTTTATTTGTAATATATTTCAAAATATATTGTTGAAAAAATGACACTTTTTCAACAAACAAGTTTGCAGCAGTTCCGTGAATAGAGTGAACAGTGTCGTCTTCTACAGTACACGAGGGGCGGCAATGATAGACATATTTTCATAATTTACCTTGAGCTCGTGCAGTCACTCGTTTTCCCATAAACTGCTGAAAACGAAATGCCCCATGCACGAAAGTGCCCCACTCTCCCCTATGTAGCACAGCGGTACGAACGCTCTCCCGTTTGTACAGGTGGTGTCTTATTAGATCAGTGAGAAAAGTAAACGTCTTCCTGCACACGTCACATCAGTAGGGCCGCTCTCCCGTATGTGTACGGCGATGAGTGGTCAGATAACGTCCCTTGGAAAACGACTTCCCACATATATCACAACGGAAAGGTCGCTCTCCCGTGTGTGTACGGCGGTGGGTGGTCAGCGCACCTTGCTGGAAAAAAGACTTTCCACATGTATCACATCGGTACGGCCGCTCTCCCGTGTGTGTACGGCGATGGCAAGTCAAACTAAATCGAACAGCAAACGTTTTACCACATATATCACAGCGGTACGGCCGCTCTCCCGTGTGTGTACGGAGGTGGGTTGTTAAAGGGACCCTCCCACCTTCAAAAAAGTTAATGAATTGGCATGAAAGTGATGTCGCTCGGTTCAGAAAGAGCAAAAACGAATATCTACCAAATTTCATCGAAAAATATTCACCGGTTTTCAAGATATCAGACTTTTACTTTTGTTTACTTTTTGGGATCTCCGCTGTTCCTAGCGACTTTATTTGAAAGTGCGGCATTTGTTGCGCGCAAAGCAGCATATACCACCGCGTGCTACAAAACGTTTTAGTCAAACATTTAACGGACGTTCGAAAGCCTGATGACGTCATCAGATTCCCGTAATGGTTAAGAGATAGGGACCACGCTGGTCCCACCCTGCAAGTAAAGGGAAGAAATTTCTTGAACACCATAAAGCTGCGGGGGTTGCGACCAGGATAAATGGTGGTTTCTGAGCCTGGCCGCAAACTTGGCTATCTCAACTCAAAACTAATGTTAAGGTGGGTGGGTCCCTTTAAAGTCCATTGTACGGTAAACGTTTTACCACACATATCACATCGGTACGGCCGCTCTCCCGTGTGCGTACGGCGGTGGGCGTTCAGATTACTTCGTACAGCAAACGTTTTGTCACATATATCACAGCGGTACGGCCGCTCTCCCGTGTGTGTACGGTGGTGGCGGGTCAGCTCACTTTGCTGAGAAAACGACTTGCCACATATATCACAGCGGTAGGGCCGATCACCCGTGTGTGTACGGCGGTGGTTGGCCAGATTACTCCGTTGTGCAAACGTTTTGTCACATATATCACAGCGATACGGCCGCTCTCCCGTGTGCGTACGGCGGTGGGCGGTCATATTACTTCCTACAACAAACGTTTTGTCACATATATCACATCGGTACGGCCGCTCTCCCGTGTGTGTACGGTGGTGGCGGGTCAGCTCATTTTGCTGGGAAAACGACTTGCCACATATATCACAGCGGTACGGCCGCTCTCCCGTGTGTGTACGGCGATGCCGAGTCAGAGAACCCGGTCGAGGAAATAACATCCCACATATATCACAGCGGTGCGGCCGCTCTCCCGTGTGTGCGCGCTGGTGGATGGTCAGTTTACTAAGCTCAAGAAAGCACTTATTACAGATGTCACAGCGGTACGGCCGCTCTCCAGTGTGAGTCCTACGGTGGTCTTTCATACAGCCGCAATGGTCGGTGGAGTATTGACACCGTTCGCACTGGAAGCTGTTGGTCCCGTCGATGTTGCCGTGCCTTATCTTCACATGCAGTTTTAGATGCACTTGTCTCATAGCACAGTAGTCGCAGTGACGGCATTGGAAAGAGCCCCCGATACCTAGAGAGTGAATCGGTCATGTGAGCGAGACTGAACAGCATCTCCTTTAGAAATGAAAAAAATATTAGTGATTTCATCAAAATATCATCATAAGTACTGTAGCCTTGACATGGCTAGTATAGGTCTATCCCTCCAACGTCCCAAGGGATGAAGGAGGCAGCATCTTTCTCATTGGACGGTCGGCAATCACGGCAATCGCCCGGACACCTGATCGGAGCCGTGTTCCAGCCTGTTATTTACCGGATGACGGCGTCAGCGCCTCAGCGCCCGGCACATGTGGCTCCATATCTAAAGGGCTACATGAGCTCTTCAGAGCCATCTATAGCTATCAAGCGCTACAATAGCTACCTCAGAGCTACTGTAGCTGTTTTAATGGTTTGGATGAGAGCACAAACACCGGTCTGTCCAGTGTAAACGCAAGACGGCGTTTCTTTTTTTTCAATTTTCGAGCTATGTTCCGTCCAGTTTGGGTGTTTCAAAGCGTCAGCGTGGCGCCCGCTCGTGGCTACTGCATTGTTTGTTTATTGGGGCTTGCAGGCGCGTCGACGACAACAGTCATTTTGCGCCCAGCGTGACGGGACACTGTTATCGCAATGTACCCGCCTTGGTTTGCTAGGCATGGGGTTTGCTTTGTTATAATGTAACTTGTTTTGCAGCTAAAAAGCCAGCACAAAAAAAATAATCGACTAAAGGTAGTGTGCCAGCTTTCCTGGAACGTATGGAGTTAATGACCCGGATAAGGAGAACCGGATTTTTAGAACTTATCCATACCTTCAAAACTCATGGAAACATCTTAAATTCTTCAAATTTTGAGTACCCCAGTGCGAAATTCGCCCCGACGGGTTGTCGGTCGTACCCCAAACACATTTCACACCACTATGAACAATAAATGCACACACTGAAATTGCTATTACCGATATGCTCATCCAATCAAGTTTCGATAAACCCGTTCATCATCATCTCCTGCGGTTTCGAACACGCCTGTTAGGTGGTGCGGTAGACCGCGCCCAAAGCCAGGGCCCCGGTAACGTGAGGTAGCCGAGTCGGGGCAGCCTGCGCTGACCCAAGCCGGGGCCGCGCGTCCTCCCGGTGTCATGTGATAGCCCGGGGCTGCCCGCGGGGATGCGGTAGACCGCGCCCAAAGCTGCGGCCCCGGCTTGGGTCAGCGCACGCTGCCCCGACTCGGCTACCTCACGTTACCGGGGCCCTGGCTTTAGGCGCGGCTTCTGCTCATACTTTGTGGTGCGGTGGTGGTGCGTCGGGCCGCGCGCTCTGACTTCGGCCAAGAAAAATGCGTCAGCTGATCATTGTCATTTCTGCCACTTGCGTGTGGTGAAATGGGGTCATAACTTAGACGGCTTTTTCATATCAATTATTTTACATAAAAATCATATTTCAAACCATAAATAATGTTCGACAGCCAAATAAAAGAAACAATACCAATACAGGCATACAGTTTAAGGCTCGACATTGTGTTGTCTACGATTAGACAGCTGATAACTCATTCCCGTACGTCGTAACTCTATAATGACCTTTGCTTATTGTCACATGTGCGCCGCATTCGTGATTGTTGCCCGACGCCTGTTTGCAGGTCAGCCCACTACAGTTGTTATACATATCGAAAAACCGATAAACTTTTTGGCGAAAAAGGCACTATTCCAGGCCCATTTTTGATTTTTTTGCAATATTATGTAAAAACAGAAGCTTCTTATCCTAGGAAAAATAAAATGGGAAATCTTTCAAAGGTGGCACACTACCTTTAACTAACCTGAAGATGACGGTCCGGCCGGAGAGGAAGTCACAGCCTCCCCAGACGTCTCCGAGTGGACGGTCAGCTCCCGGGGGGCCGAGTCGTCTCCGTAGTACACCAGCAGCTCTGACCCTTTCGGGATGGGCTTTGATGTCCTGCAAAGATCAATCATGGACGCGGATGTCTTAGCATGTATAAGATCAAACATGCATATTATATAACCTACCAAAAGGTAGCAATTCCGCTGATGCGCAGCAATATTACAATAGAGTACAACATATATGTATTGCACATAAAGACTCACTGACAAGACAAGAATATCCAAACTTGAAACAGATGGTAACAAACCTGAAGTATATCAGGCCCCTGTGCTGGAAGGGAATCAGATTCGCTTCTTCCTCCGAGCGGGCACAGTTGACCCTTCTGAGCCAGTTGCTGCAGCTCGGGTCCTCGGCATTCACCGAGTGATGAACACGGTCACCCTTCTTGATCTGAAGACAACGGTAAAGACAGCAAGAATCAAGCATCAGTGAAGAAAGGTAATACTCATACAGTAGCTGTTTCGGGCTGTTTGCGAGTTTACTTCTAATACTCATACATGTAGCTTCGGCTTCTAGCTGAGCTTCTAGAAGCAACGAATTCGATGTTTTTCAATAGTTACGAAACCACCTAAATGCCTATATATCTTCAAGAGTATATTTGTTTCGGATCCCTTAGTAGCTGTTTCTGGCACCTAATTGCTACATAGCACAAAAAAAAACTTACTGGAACCTCATAACTGAATCTGACATTACAATGCTGAGCCTGACAAGAAACTTAATGTGTTACCAGGATTATCAAATGACAGATGTGACATATAAGTGCGTGTATGGCCTAAACTTTTTTAATTCATTTTAAAAGGGATAAAAACGCAAGAAATTACCAAACGTTTCGCATTTATTGCATAACCATGGGTGTTAGAATGCGATTGATTATCTGGTCGGAGTGATTGCTGAATGGGCACTGGAATTCCAATACGCAGCAGCTCATTCCCTTCGCATTTACCCAGCCTATTTGTAGCCCTTTTTCGGATTCGTTTCACCCTATCAGACAGAAAATTTGCATCAAGTTTATGGCACGCTTTTGACAATGTAAAAGAGAACGTTTTCGGCCCAAGGGCCAGGCGCATGCACAATTGAGCATGTGGCCAGAAGCGGCGGAGTTTCTCAGAGGAAGTGGGAAGGCGGACAAGTCTGGTATTTCTTTGTCGCGCGGGTCTACACCCCTTTGTTTGTGCATGTATTCGTACAATAGATCGATTATGCTCTATTCCGTCTATTTGCGCAGCACTGATGCACATGTTGGCACACGGCGGCCGCGCCGGGTGCCACGGCGGCTGTGCCCGCCGCCGGCGCCGCACTCCGGGCATTCGAGCTGGCGGTACCACATCCACGCCGGCGACACACACCACACAGCATGGGCGTAAGAGCCTCACGAAAAATGGGGGGCAGCGAAATTTTAATGTCACTTTGTGGGACATTGAAACAAACATAAGAAGTAGATTAGATAGATAGTCTATAAGAAGTAGTCATAAGAAGTAAACTCGCAAATAGCCCGAAACAGCATACAATCTAAAACACCTCCCAAATCCAAAAGCCTATTCGGATCCATAGAGAAATAACTGCTGTCCCCCGCAATTTCGTCACGAGCACTGGACCAATCAGCGTCGAGGATTGCCGAGCGCTGATTGATCAATTTTCCGCTAGCGCGTAAATACTGCTCAAGGAACAATAGTTCGTCGACAATCCTCCACAAGGCACAAACGTCTGTCACACTTTTCTTGATGCTAAAAAAGCAGGAGCGTCCCCCCCCCCCCCCCCCACCCCCACCCCTGGAGCCAACCACTACGGAGAATTAGTGCCAAAAAAGCTGAAATGTGTCATTTTTCGCCGTAGTTGCTGCTTATCGCCAAACACGTGCTGCCGACCTATTTTAGGCTGAAACAGCTATTTGGCGCCAGGAACGGCTTTTCTAGGACGCAACTAAATGGCGTCCACTTTGCTACCGACTTCCTTTCGCAGTGACCAATTGCAATAGACAGACCAACTGACCTTCCACCTGTACCCGGTGGTTCGGACTTGTCGTCGGTCGGTACTTAGGGTGCCCTCGTAGGGACCGAGTCTGTGGCGCGCCGGAATATCCTTATCTGCCCACACTCCTGAAATAGCCGAAATGCACATCTGTGAATTCACAACGAAAAGGGAAGTTATCACATGTCAATCACATTTTATGACATCGGCAATGTCATATCACAACGTGCGGAAGCTATAGGACATATACACTATTTCATTTAGAAAGCTGAAGTCCTCGAAAAAGTGATCGATTGCATGTGCTAGAATGCAAGTGATGGATATGGCATATGTTGTGCGTCATTGCTTACGTAAGACGCTTAGCTTACCGGTGCTGGATTCTGATATTTTCGACTGGCCAGTGCTGAGGAAATGCGGCAGAGTTTTGACGTCCCTCTTCCGGTCCCCGACTCCCGGTGGTACCTGTAATAAAATGGGTGTAATTTTCCCCATCACTGGCGCAAACCCTCGACCTGCTGACCACACGACATTCAGATTGGGCGTTACAACGGTCTATGAATAGCCCTGTACTGTGGAATGACCGGATGATGTGAAATAAATAAATACAACAGAGGCTCCCGGTTCTCTAGTCATCAATTCACACGCTATGCCACAGACCATGTTTAAAAAAGCCACTTTGAAAAAGATGGAAATCTGAGGAAAAAGAAGCATATTCACCAGATTCATAATCTTATGTTCCTGAAAGCTTCAGCAAGATGTGACGCAAGCCAAAAATAGCTGAGCAATGACAGTTTCCCGTCCCTTACCTTAGTGTCTTGTATGACCTTCAGCGGACCATGGACAGGACAATCTCCGTCCCAATCACAGCAGCACAGCTCACAGACTGTCGGAACACAGGAGATGCATTTAGAACTGCGATAAACAAATTCTTGACAAAAAAACTTTGCGCAGGGAAAGTACCTATTGCTAGGCTATAAGAAATTGTTCTTTTCAGATTGGTCTGACATTATTTGGTTCTGCAAATGCATTAGGTACTTTGCAATACACATAACAAGAACATGCAACATATTCAGCATCTAGGCATCGACGAAGCAGGTACTTACACATGCTGTTGTCGTTCAGACCATCCACCTCTCTGTAGTTTATCACCATGCGGCGACTCTTAGGAACCTTTCCGTCGGGATGTGCTGAAAAATAATAAACACTTATCTTACATGTAACTTTCAGTTTGAATACCTCCAATGCTTTAAAGTGACCATCCCTGATCCCACCTTAACATTAATGTTGAGTTGAGAAAGTCAAATTGGGGTCCCTGGCTCGTACTTGCCGGTTTGGGCACAAACTATCGAGTAAGTCTTAAATTCGGAGACCTGAGGGCTGAGGCCTCTTGCACCAAACTACCTACCTAAGTAAATTCCGATTTTACCTAAATGCTCTTGCACCAAACTACCCATCCAAAAACGCTACCGTGAAAATTTACCTAGAAATTCTACCGAGCGGCACCGGAACTTACCAGTTGTTAAAGTCCGACCGGCTGTTTTCCTCTTGATTTATGTACTTAAAGGGACCCTCCCACCTTCCAAAAAGTTAATAAATTGGCATGAAAGTGATGTCGCTCGGTTCAGAAAGAGCGAAAATGAATATCTACCAAATTTCACCAAAAATAGGTATTCACCGGTTTTCAAGATATTAGACTTTTACTTTTGTTTACTTTTTGGGATCTCCGCTGTTCCTAGCGACTTTATTTGGAAGCAATAGTTTGGCAGCTGAAAGTGCGGCACTTCTTGCGCGCAAAGCAGCATATACCACCGCGTGCTACAAAACGTTTTAGTCAAACATTTAAAAATCGTTAGATATCTGCGCTGACGTCACACATTCAGAGGGGTATTCCTATGCATCTGAATCAAAATACTGCAATTTTGAAATTCAATATTTCCGATTTAAGACATTTCTCGATGTTGTGAGTGCCGAAACCGGTAATTGTGAGCCGGGGACCCCATTTTGGCTATCTCAACTCAAATCTAATGTTAAGGTGGGAGGGTCCCTTTAACTTATGTACTTGATTAATGTTCTTTGATTTATGTACTTATCACCAGTAAGACGACTTTTGGGGCGAGAAACGAGCCAGCGAGAGGGTGACCTTTGCACGTGTGGGGGGGGGGGGGGGTATTTACAACCGGGCTGTGTAGTGCATCCTACTAACTGGTCTCTAGCAATATGCCAAATTTGAGCATAATCGGCCCAGCCGTTCTCGAGATCTGGAAGCGGCATCCTGCACGTGCGCACGTGCAAAATGGGTCCCAACTGAATTGTGCATTATTAAAAACTGACACCTCTCCGTTTTGCACGTGGCACGTGCATAAGGGGTCACCCACATACATCGGGAATAGTCCAATACTTCGTAGAAGGAATGAAGTTACCCTACAAAAATTACCGTATGTAAATCGGTCAAGTGGTTGCTGAGATATAAGCCTCGCAAAAGTATCCGCACGGCCGGCCGACCGGCCGCTCATACTCAGAAATTTCCGTTAATCTAAGGAAAGATTTGACTCGCTTCGCTCGCTCCGTAATAAGATATTTACCTCGATCTTTTACTGACAGTGATAGCGGGGCGTATAGTGCAGAAAGACGTAAGTGTAAGAACTGGTAAAAAGAGAGCCTTGCTGACATTATTGATTATACAAAATAAAACATTAAATAGGTATGCTCACTATATTGCGCTTTTGCATCCACATACCATCTGATGTATCTTGTAGATCTGGCAGGCATCCCAATAGGCTGTCAATCTTTGTATCGGCAATGTAGTGAGCACTGTAACAAAACACAATATACAAATAATGTCAACTTTTGATGGGCTGGGTTAGTTAAGTACATATAGTAGTGTAAGCTATGGTATATCTGTTCATTCAAAAAGCAAAAAAAAAACGTTATTTTTATTAATAGATTTATACTCATATTCATTTCATATTAGCTTCCACAAACTCTGTAAACACTATAAAAATGTAATTAATAACAACATTTTTTACAGTTGACTTACAAATTGCATGTCAAATATGAAGTGACAAAAGCAGGGCTGCGGAGCCGGAGTCAGAGTCGACAGTTCTGCCCGGAGTCGGAGTCGCCAAAATCTTACCGACTCAAACTCCGGAGTCGCAATTAACGCTACATGGCTCAAATCATGCATTGCACCTGTTTGATTGACGATACTGCGCTCGAAATTAGATTTAGAAAAGGCCATTTTTCTGTTTTGGACGAATGTTTTCAGCGAAAGAAACAGAAGACGGTAAATTCCCCAGAACCTGCTTTTGAACAATGCATGCTCTTTTTAGAAGGGAATAGTTCACTTTCACGAAATTCGTTTTTTTTCAATGGATTCATGATTTCTTTTAATGCTCAAAATGATCAGCAAAGAAAATAAAACCTTTTGGTAAAAAATATTATTTTCTATACTTTAATATAGGAAGAACTCTCCAGTTTTGAAAGATTGCAAAAGAGGGAAATGACCCCTGCAACGGCTGCAAGGCACACATTCCTCAGCAACGCACTTTTTCGGGAAGAGAAATGGAATATCTTTGCCTAGGGTGATCGTTGGGCCGTAAAAGCACCTGATTTGTGCTTGTCTAAGCCATGTCTCAGCTAAAGCTACGGAACTGCTATTCCAGTCCAAACCCCCATGTTAAAATTGAACTATTTCCTTTAGTGCATACTAGGGTTACCCGCGTGCTCCGCAACGCGAAGAAGGGTTATTTTTGACCCGTGGGTATTATTGGGTTGGTCTGTGTCGGTTTAGTTGGTATCCATTTCCTTCGATTGCTTTTTGACGGCCAAGCATTTTGTAATAAAACAAAAAGATACGTCGCATCGAGGTGCCCGTGTCGTATTATCATGCGTTCTACTTAAGAATGATTCGAAAACTGGCGTGAAGTCTTTTTAGGACAATCGATGAATTTCGGTAAAAATGACTATGTAGTGGTTTGAAACATTTGCATTTTTTAGAATATTGTTGCTTGTCATGCAAAAATGTTGGGTGTATCTTGGACAAAATTGAATGCTCTTTCAAACGGTACCAGTTTCAATTGCGAAACATATCAGGTTATGCAGCAAAACCCGTGTAATTAAGAAAGCGGCACATCATCGACAAAAACCATTTTCTCCAGCGATTTATACCACCTTGTCGTCGATCAATTAGCTATTCACAATTTTCCATGAGAGGCGGTACATTTCTCTTGTCAACAGGCGTTGTTTCAACTCGCTCCGTTTAACGGTCACCTAAAAATAAAATTAATTCCAAAATCTCTCAAAAACCGCAATTTTTCAAATAAAAGTGCCCTCTCCGGTGCACGTGGCGCGTGCTATCCTCTGCATTGCACACCATTCAATAGCCCGTTCAATTTTGTACACGATGCTGTTTTCCCCGTGCCGGTCGGACCCGTGGTCACCAAGATATTGCACCGGGACCGGAACCGTGTCGGCCAAAATTAGCCGTTTTCGCCCGATTTCGCACGCCGATTTATACATGTAAAGTCTATGACGCGAATTTGCACTTTTTGAGCACGCGCCACGCGCTCACTAACGACCCGATCGAGCTGAGACCCCTCAAAGGCACGTCGCGCATCTTTGATCTATAAGTTGTACAAATTTCACCGGGCTAGGTGCAACGGTCTGGCCTGTAGTCCACGCAAAGCACGACCAAGTCGGGACCTCGGTAACGGACAGACGCACCCTCCTCAAATAGTAATATAGATTTGCAACGCAAAGCCTTGGAACGCACAAGGGATCGTTTGAGGCCAGATAAAACATCTACATTATGAACTTCAATATCATGATATGCATTTTAATAGAACCGTCCGGAGTCGGAATCGGAGTTGGAGTCGGAGTCAGAGTCGATTTTCGAAGCCGGAGTGGGAGTCGGAGTCTTAAAATCCATCGACTCCACAGCCCTGGCCAAAAGTATAAGACTCAAGCCCCAGTCTTTACCTGTCTCGATCAAAGTCTGTGAACCCATTGAAGTCAACTGTTGGTGATGGCGACCGGCTCTGTGCATTCCTCTCCAGTTTGATAAACTGCCCAGCATGGTCCGACGAAGCACATTCTTCAGATGCGGGTGATGGCGGGGGCCACTCAGGCTAAACAGAACCAGAAACAAAGTTAATTTAAAGCAAGCCCATTAATTATTGGAAAAAATAACATAAAACTTAGGTCAGCGACAGCCGCTACTTTTACAATAACTTAACCCGCGCCCTGATGGGGGGGGCCACTTTGGCCCCCCCCCTGTGGTTTTTCTTAAATAGCGAGAAAACGGCGGCGCGCAGCGCCGCCAAATTTTGGGTACCTTACCGGGCATCAATTTGACACCTTCACACAAAATTTCAAGTCACAGGTCACCTCAGGTCAGGAGTTATTGAGGTCAAACTGAGGTCATGTTCGAGCAAAAATGAGCAAAAAACATGACATCTTGAAACGATCACCAATTCTACAGTTGACAAGCAATTTTAAAGTTCTTTATGTGGTTGTGTAGAGAAAAGACGGCGCTACAAAACTGCTATCTCGGATTTTCGAAATTTTGGGATTTTGACCCCCCAAAATCAAAAAAATTGATTTTTTTAGAAAAACTCAAAAAATTTCCTAAAAATTTTCGAATTTCGAAAAAACCGGAATATATGTGATAGTCCCTGCGCTCTTCGATCTACATACCAAATTTTAGATCGATACCTCTTTTTTTGGCCAAGTTATAGCGAAAAAACTGTTAAAAATTGATGACGTCATATTTTTGAACTCACTTTTTAGCCATTCTAGACCTCGTAGCGCAAAACGGAGACCACCATTGAACTCCCCGTGACGAGCTGCATCGAATCGATACCCATTTTATGCAAAAATATCAACTTTGAAATTTGACCTAATTTGACCTGACCTTGACCTGACCTTGACCAAAACGTGACCTAAGCTGGCCCTAAAGTCTGTCTGACCCACATAATCGCATTTGTCATGTAAAATGGACCATAAAACATGTATCACACGACACTTTCATATTGTGACCCCCCAGTGACCTGACCTGGTATCAGTGACCTCAAATAGCAAAATATGTGTTTGAAGAACATTTCTCCATCGATGATTTTCAATGAAATGCATTTTACTCGATTTTACAACGCATTTCTTGAAATGCCTGTAAACGGTGAAAATTCGACCTTTGACCTGACCTGTGACGTCATCGGTTTGACCGAGGTCAATGAAATTGGGTCACAAGGTAGTTCCCCGCTGGGGCTATCCAACACCGTTTACCGCTTGTCGCTATGTTGCGTGGTTCTCGAGATCTGAGGGGGGGGCCAAAATGGCCCCCCCCCCATCAGACCGCGTTGCTCGGCAGACCCCATCTGGGCGCGGGTTAACTTAGGTTAGCGACAGCAGCTACTTTTACAAGTACCTAATTCATAGATGGCAATGAAAACATTTCACATATTCAAACCCACCTCTGGTGAAGTAGCCTCAATCTTTATTTCCTCCTTTACAAAAAGCTCAATATTCTCAGAAGTGTTGAACATGACAGAAGTTGTCATCCTTCTGGGCCGTCTGCATACACTATGAACAACTGTTTCTCACCAGTTATGGTGAATGGTTAAGTGTGAGCCCCTTAAGACCACTTCAGAAGTACAAGCTTCTCTGCTGGGGGAGGCGACACATGCTATGTGAACAACAATGAAATTAACTAACTGCAGGGGTATGGTCAGATCAGAACCAACACACTGTTTGTGGCTTGGTTGTGGCGGTTGTGGCAACATTTTGTGCCTGCACCTGGAGGATGGCAGGCAGAGCAGGTGCTGTGGCAACTGGCAAAAGATCGGAGGGGTGTTCACGGGCACCGCAAACTGCTGAGTGCGGTGTGTGCGCCTGCGGTGTCATCGGAGGGGTGTTCACGGGCACCGCACACTGCTGCGTGCGGTGTGTGCGGTGCGTCCAGCAGGCGTGGGGGTAGGGGATGGGTAGGCGGTTCTGACGTCACGGCTGCGTGCGGTGGACGGTCCGCTGTGGCCAGTCCCGACCGGCCACAGCGATCGCTGTGTGCGGTGACGGAAGGCTGACGTAGGGACGCGGTGGGCGGAGCTTCGAGGCTGTGTGCGGTCCGACCGCACACAGGGCCCGTGAACAGCCCTCAGGCGTGGGGGTAGGGGATGGGTAGGCAGTTCTGACGTCACGGCTCAGCGACTGCGTGCGGTAGACGGTCCACTGTGGCCAGTCCCGACCGGCCACAGCAGTCGCTGTGTGCAGTGACAGAAGGCTGACGTAGGGACGCAGTGGGCGGAGCTTGGAGGCTGTGTAAGGTCCGACCGCACACAGGGCCCGTTAACAGCCCTCAGAAATGTCATGGAAGGAAAAAAACATGCATGGAAAGAACACATCTTTTTCTTGAAAAGTGACACCACATATCGATACCTTAACACTTTTTACACAAAGCATTTATAAGTTACACCAAATATCTCAAATATGAAATATCTCTACTCAACCATTTGTTAAGTTAGGTAAAGGCAGATTGTGTTCAGATTATTTTACAATTGTATGATCAGTTTAGGTCAGGTCAGAGTAAATCTTGGTGTTTCTACTTGTAGTGTACCTACCTTTTTTGGGAGTTAATGATTGAATGAACAATATTATTGGATGATATATGGTTTGTTACAATATGGTTTGGCTTTTATTCAATTTTGAGCCCAGGGTGGCTGGCGTTTCACATCCGCTTCCAGCACTCTGCAAGTGTATTTTGCAAGCAGATGATGTCCCACTGGGGAAATTCTGGCACATGAATGCTGCAACATTCAGTTTAGTAGTTAAAGTTAACCCATTAACGCCCAGCGGTACCAAAAGGTACCAACGCACATTTTGGCTTGCTGCGTTGAGACCATACGTTTTCTCGCCACATAGATTCTGTCATTGGATAATCGTCTCCTTTCCGGATATGCTGTTGGGTAAAAATAACGTGCTGCTAAGAAGAACTTCGTGTGAGGTGCAGAAAAGCGAGGAGTGTTTCGAGGCGCCACAGTCACTGGCTGACGTCGGGAGAAGAAAACGTTTGTATTTGCTTGTCTGTGAATATTTTTCTAGCCAAAGTGTGTTTACATTAAAGATTAAGAACTTGTAGCTGCAGTTAAGCAGAAAATCCGATGTTTCGTCATGAATCCTGGCGTCCCTAGGGACAGAATTATTGTTGGTACCTTTTGGTACCACTGGGCGTTCAGCTAAGCGTTTTTTCGCAATTTCATGCGTGTGCGGTCTAAGCAGACGCGTAACAATGCTCAACGGAGTGATGCGGACAAATTGCCATTTGGGGCGCCATCCCTCAAGGGGACGCTATCGCCTAAAGAAATTGGGTGCGTAAGAGGAGCGCCTGTGAGGCCATAGGGGCCCCTATATGCAAAAGAGAGGCGCATATAAAGTTCATAGGGGCGATTCAATGCAAATGAGGATGTCCATAGGAGCGACTTTGATGCCCATAGGAGCACGTGCATGCGAAAGAGGGGCACCTGTGAAGCCTATAGGAGTGCCTCTGAGGTCCATGAGGCCCATAGTATATGTAGGGGCACCAACATGCAAAAGGGGCGCCGCCATGCAAAAGGGGCGCCCATATAAAGGTCAAAGTCGAACTTCCATACGAAAGGTTGGCCACTGCATCCCAAAGATGAACGCCTCTGAGGCATACAGAAAGAGGTGCGCCTATGAAGCCCATAGGGGCGCCTCAGTGGGAACGAGGGGCGCCTGCTAGGTCTAAAGAGGCGCCCCTCTTTCGCCCACATGCGAAAGAGGGGGGCACCTAGGAAACCCATGGGGGCGTCTCTATGCGAAAAGGGGCGCCTGTGTAGGCTGAGAGTCGTTCGCGTAACGTTTCTCAGGGACGGTGTGCAGTTTACGGCACACAGAATCTAAAAAGAGTTCGGAGGGGAGTGCCTTCGTCGCCCTCGCCGCTTGAAACTGGTGCATTCATTGCTCCATGGTCATTCACCGCTGACGTGACGCATTGATGTTGGATAGGATATTTGCCCTATAATCGCTGGTATTATTGCGGGTACCCCTGCGGAGCAGACATGAGGTCAAGGCCCCAAATGAATACCTATTGCTTGGGGGAGGGGAAGGGGCACGGTTTTGAGATCGTCGTGTTGTTTAGGAAGGCTGTTGCTGTTGTTCAGGAAGATGTGGGTAACAACGTCACATCCCAGTGCAGTTTGTGCAGTAGTACATATACGGAGGAAATATTGATGCGGATCGTAGTGACAGATGAGTTCCTGCAGACCTGCTGCTTGGTACGTGCACCTGATAATGCTGCATACGCCGCGACTGATGCATACACTGGATTAGAGTAAGCTCCGCCATGAAGGCGTATGCATTGTACTGACGTGGCTGTCACTAGAGTCATCTGTGGCGCGTGGCGCGTGGCGCTCTGCCCGGAGACGTACTTACATGGAGAAGTACATATAACGGCTAGAGCCTAGAAACATGACGTGTTGACTGCTGCAACGTGTGCCTCTGCGCAAGCAGCAATGTACTATCCTTACGGTTGTCGGGTTTACGGTAAGGCCAAATGGCCTGTAGGCCCCGCTCTCATCGAGCTCCATGGTTTGACAGCTTAGCTGTCTGGTGTTTGGTACCAGAGGTGGGCCCAGTGGGCATCCAGACTCGCTTTGAAGGTGTTCAGCGATGCCGAGCATACGACTTCGGCAGGCAGCGAGTTCCAGTCGTTCACAGCGCGAACAGAGATGGCCGACCTCCTTGCTTTGCAGGTCGCTCTGGGCTTCAGGACCTTGAATGGGTGGCCTCGCGTGGAACTGCTTGTGACTCGCGTGAAGAAGTTGTCTGGATTGATGTCCACTCCACCGTTGAACAATTGGTACAGAAAAATCATGTCACCTCGCTTGCGCCTATAGTAAAGTGATGGTAGACGTAGCTTCCGCAGGCGTTCTTCGTAGTGTAAGTGTCTGATGCTGGATACCATACGTGTTGCCCTTCGCTGCACCCTTTCCAGCAGTTTCTGGTCCGCGCGGTTGAACGGACCCCAAACATGGTTGCCGAATTCGAGGTGTGGGCGAACTAACGCCTTATATAAAAGTGGAAGCGTGAAACAGTCTAGCAGGGCGAAGGAGCGACGAATGACAGAAAGCACCTGAGTGGCTTTGGAAACGACCACTGACGCATGTTGGCGGAACTTCAGCTCCGAGTCAATGTGGATCCCTAAGTCACGCTCTAGCGAAGTGTCGCACATTGGATTTCCCCTGATCGTGTATTGGTGGTCCTCGTTCGCGCGCCCCATGTGCAAAACCTTGCATTTCCTCTCATTAAATGGGAGCTGCCAAGTGTCGGACCATTTGACTAAAGCGTCCAGGTCCGCTTGGAGCTGTGAGGTGTCACGAGGCGAGGAGATCGACGAGTATACTTTGGTGTCGTCCGCGAACATTTTGATGAGGCCCTGGACAGCATCTGGTAAGTCGTTGACGTAAACGAGAAAGAGTAATGGGCCCAAGACAGATCCCTGTGGGACGCCACTATGGACGGCCGTCCATTCTGAGGAGCATCCCTGGACAACTACTTGTTGTTTCCTGCCGCCGAGAAAAGACTCTATCCATGCCAGCAGTTTGCCAGTCACGCCGTAGGCTCTAAGTTTGTGGAGCAAGCGCTGGTGAGGGACAGAGTCGAAGGCTTTGCAAAAGTCTAAGTAAAGCACGTCTATTGGAGTCTGATCCTCAAAAGATTTGCTCCAGTGTTCCAGGGCCTCCAACAGTTGGGTGCTGCATGAACGCCTCGGCCGGAATCCATGTTGGTCGTCAGAGAGGAGGTCAGCCTCTGTCAAGTGCTGCAGAATTCTGTCACGTATGATGGATTCGAGAACTTTGCACGTCACGGCGGTGAGGCTAACTGGACGGTAATTACTCGGATCAGATTTGTCTCCCTTTTTGAAAATGGGTGTCACCCTTCCTAGCTTCCACTCGTCAGGTACCGTGCCCGCATCAATTGAGCGACGGTAGAGCAAGGAAAGTGGTCTACATAGAGCCTGACGGGCTTCGTGTAGGACACGCGGATGAATGCCATCGGGCCCGGGAGAACTGCATGGGTTTAATGCCGACAGTTTGCGTTCTACAACCGAGGCAGTGATGGTAATGTCCGCTAGCTCTGGAATCCGCTCTCTAGTTGGCAAGGTTGGCATATCGTCGAGAGTTTCTCGAGTGAATACACTTCCAAAAAAGGAGTTGAGAACATCTGCTTTGTCCTCGTTTGATGTGGCCAATCCCCCTGAGGCAGAGCGAAGATCCCCTACGGGTGTCTTTGTTTTGAGGCGAGTGTTGGTGTATCGCCAGAAGGCCTTTGGATTATTTTTCAAATCAGCGGCCAGCCTGAGCTCAAAGTCGTGGCGAAGCTTTCTGGTTAGATTTCTTAGTTTGTTGCGAGACACTCTAAATCGGGCTAAATCTATTGGGTCGTTTGTGCGGGTGTACTTTGCCCACAGCTCGTGTTTGTGCTTCTTCAGCTGCAGTGCGTTGCTAGTCATGTAAATGTTCTTTCTGGCTTTTGGTTTTCTAACTTTGGGTATGCATGCAGATATAGCACCAAGAACAGCATTGTTGAAGAACTGATATCCAGAATCAACATGAAGTGTTGCCAAACACTGCCAGTTGACCGCAGTGAGT